ATTTTAGGTGCAGCTACTCTTAAAATTTCAGCACAAAATGTCCTCTTGCAAGTCTGGGCTACCACTGGTTCTTGCTGCCCCCTTATGGAATGGACACACATATTCGTTGCAATTTCTCTCAGGACTTTAGAAATTAAAATTTGTATTTTAACTCAAAAATCTTTCAAACCTCTAACACGTCAAAACATGGAAATCAGCCATTCAGCCTGCCTCCGGCCCCTCCTTCCTGTCTCTCAAAGATGAGTGTTGCTGAGTACACTGTTCATTCTTCTGCTTTTCTCTTCAGATTTCCTATCAATATAATTTACACTAAATCAGAATGATAGAATATTACAGTACAGAAGGAGGCCATTCAGCCCACCGTGCCTGCTTTTGGAAGAGCTAACCAATCAGTCCTGCTCACTCCCCTGCTCTTTCTCCAAAACCTTGCAAATCTTTTGTTTTCAAGTTCCTATCCAATTTCCTTTTGAAAGTTGTTATTAAATCTGTTTCCACCCTTTCAGGCAGTGCATTCCAGATTGTGTAAAATTCTCCTCATCTCCTTTGCCAATTCTTTTGCCAATTATCTTGAATCTATATGCCCTGTACTCTTCCAAGCTGAGAGGACGTCTCAAACTATTTTACCCAGTCAGACACCTGAGCCTGGGGGGGGTGGGGGAAGATGACCAGAAGTGCCTTCAATCAGATGGCCTCCACGATGGAGTTCCAGAGGACGGAGTGGCATAAATCTCGCCACTAACCAACGCGGTGTAGATCGAGTGGGGGATGTGCTCACCAAGGGAGCAGCTGGTTACAGAGATCAGAATTGGGGTAAGGTGAGGCATGCAGGGAATTGAATGCAAGTGTAAAGATCTTGAATTTGAAATAAAAACACGTCACTGAGAACACTCAGCAGGTCAGGCCGCAACTATGGAGAGGAAAGTGAGTTAACATTTCAGGTCGATGCCTGACCTGCTGAGTGTTCCGAGAGACTTCTGTTTTTATTTCAGTTTTACACTATCTGAGTGTTTTAACATAGAAATGCTAGACGAGAAAAGACCAACATCCATCTAGTTCGCCTGCCACCTTCCTGGGGGTCACACGCACAATGTTCCAAACTACCTATGTACTATATCCCATAAAACTAATCTGTGTTTGAAAGAATCAACATTTCCTGTTTCAACTTTCTTTCTTGGGAGCCTGTTCCATAGGTTCACTGAAATAGTGTTTGCGCAGATTCATTCTGAATTTACCCGCTTCAATCACAGGCTGTATCTTCTGGTTTTACTATTCCGGTTCAGTTGAAACAGCCCGTCATGATCTGCATTGTCTAATCCCTTTAGAATCTTAAAGATAGCAATCATATCGGCTCTCAATCTTCTCTTTTCCAGCAGTTCATGGCCAATTTACTTAGTGGCTCCTCATAGTCCAGTCCTTTCGTTCCCTCACTCATTTTGGTTGTCCTCCTCTGTATTGTCTCAATTTCTCCAACATCCTTTTTGTACTGCGGCGACAAACTGTACACAGTACTCTTAAATATAGTCACCAGTGATTTATACAGTGGCAGGAATACCCCACTATTTAAGCTTGCTATTGATTTTTTGATACATCTTTACTCACCGCCACGGATCATTGACAGAAGAGCTTGAATTTACTGTCAATCAGGACCCCCAGGTCCTTTTCATTTTTCCTTCTGTTTAAATAATAGTCCCTGCCAACAATTTTTATTCCCATGTAAAGTACTTTATATTTCTCCACATTAAATTTCATCTGCCACCGATCTGCCCAATTTCCAAGTATGTTCAAATCCTCCTGTAACCTATCTTGATCAGTCTTATTTGATAATAATAATAATCCTTGCATTTGATCTAGCCCTTTTCCACGTCTTCTAGACGTCTCAAAGTGCTTCACAGAATAGCCTGTAAAGTGAATTGACCGTATATTTTGTCGGCAAAATGCGGCAACCAATTGCGCACAGCAGCGTCCCACAAACAGCCATGGATTGAAGTGACCAATTTATTATTGTTTTTTTTTCTTAAGAGATTATTATCAGGCATATGGAGTAAGGAAACTTGCCTATGCTTTCACCCTGCCAGGAATGCAACCCAGGTGTCTTGCTTGCAAAGCGAGTGCTCAACCACTGAGCTACAGTGGTTAGAGCACTCTTCAGCATAGGACACCAATTCCGCTTCTTACTTTTATTTTGTATCAATGAATCAAAACACACGTGGAAGCCAAACTTTCATGAATACTTTGGTTTACAAATTTTAATCTTCATATCTAAAATAGTAATAGAAGACTAAAAACGCTGAATAGTACTAATTTGAACAGATTGTGACTGGGGAGACCACTGGAAAATATTGCATTTATGTTGTTACTTTTTTCAGCTGATACAGCAGGTTCTTAATAACTCGGAAACCTGCATGAGATAAAGTGCCACATAAGAGACTTGTTAGCTAAACAGAAGCCCCCGGTATTAAAGGGACAGTGGCAGCGGATACAGAACTGTCTGGGAGACAGAGAGCAGAGAGTGGTGGTGAACGGTTGTGTTCCTGACTGGAGGGAAGTGTACAGTGGTGTCCCCCGCGGTCAGTATTGGGACCACTGCTGTTTGTGATCTGTATAAATGACCTGGACTTGGATATAGGGAGTACAATCTCCAAGTTTGCAGATGATACTAAGCTGGAAAAGTAGTAAACAGTGAGGAGGATAGTAACAGACGGCAAATGGACACAGACAGACTGGTAACATGGGCAGACACGGGGCAGATGAAGGTTCATGTGGAGAAATGCATGAGAAGTGATGCATTTTTGGAGGAAGAATGAGGAGAAGCGATATAAGCTAATGGGACAATCTTAAAGGAACAGAGAGACCTGGGGGTCATATATAGTAAATCTTTGATGGTGGCCGGACAGGCAGATAGAGCTGTTAATAAAGCATCCGGGATACTGGGCTTTATAAATAGGGGCATAGAATACACAAGTCAGGAAGTTATGATGAACCTTTATAAACACTGGTTAGGCCTCAGCTCGAGACTGTGCTCAGTTCTGGGCCACACACTTTAGGCTGGAAAAGCCGGGATTATTCTCCTTGGAGCAGAGGTCAAGAGGAGACTTACTAGAAGTTTTCAAAATGATGAGGGGATTCGATAGGGTGAACAGGAGACACTATTCCCACTGGCGGGTGGGTCGGTAACCCGAGGACACCCATTTAAAATAGTTGTTAAAAGAAACAGAGGGGAGGTGAGGAGAAATGTTTTGACACAGCGAGTTGGTGGGATCTGGAATGCATTGCTTGAAAAGCCGGTGGAAGCTGATTCGATTACAACTTTTGAAAGGGTAGATAATTATTTGGGGAGGACAAGTTTGCAGAGCTATGGGTGGGGGGGGGGAGATAGGTGGAGTGCGATCGATCAGGGCAATGAGGGGAGAGAGCGGGGAGTGGGATCGATCAACAACAAGATTGCATGTGTACAGGCCTTTCACATCAGGAGATCGTCCCAAGGTGCTGGACAGTGACAGCATTTCAGACCTGAGCTGCGGTCGGGGGAAGGGAGGGGAAGGGGGGAAGCCGATGGCATGGTCGAAGAGGAGGATCTTGAGGCGGGTCTTGAAGGAGGCTAAGAAGGGGGCGAGGTGGAGCTGGAGCCGGCTGAGCGGAGGGAGCGGGCGGGTTGGTAGGGGGTTAGGTCACAGAGGTAGGGTGGGGCGAAGCCATGGAGGGCTTTGTACGAGGACCAGGATCTTGATCCTCTGAAGGATAGGGAGCCACTGGAGTCGGGCGAGAGTGGGGGAGATGGGGTCATGGAGTTTGGTGCGGGAGAGGACACGGGCTGCAGAGTTAGTTCTGGATTATCTGCAGTTGTGGAGGGAGGAGTTGGGAAGGCCGACACGCAGGGAGTTTGCATAGTCGAGCCTGGAGGTGATGAAGGCGTGAACAAGAGTTTCAGCGCCTGAGGGGAGAGATAGTGGCGGAGTCGGGTGATGTTACGGAGGTGAGGGAAGGCAGAGCGGGTCATGGCTTGGATGTGGGGAAGAAAAGACAGTTGAGGGTTGAACAAGACCCCCAGGTTCCTGACTGGCGGTGAGTTGGTGAGTTGTGGTGTGTAACCATGGAGGGTGATGTTGCCAGAGCCTGAGGTGCGGAGGCGCTGGTGTGAGCCAATCAGGAGGACCTCAGTCTGGTTCACATTCAACTGTAGGAAATTTGCCCTCATCCGGGACTTGATGTCCTTAGTCTCCTTCAAGTCACGCCTCAAGACCCTCCTCTTCAACCATGCCATCAGCCACCCCACTTCCCCTCCCCCCCCAATCCCACTCTGAAATGCTGTTACTGGGACGCCCTCCCGACGTGAAAGGCGTTATACACATGTCATCTTCTTGTTGTAAATAGGATTGAAACAGTAAACCCAAAACAATACAAATTTATATTTATATATTGCAACTTTCACTTTGGAAGGACATCGCAAGGCAAGGTGCTTGAATACTTTCGAATACACAGAAGGAATAGAACAAGGATGCCAAAGAATATCCAAATAAAGCTGAGAATCCCACGCATCCCACCTCCACATGGAAATCACAGAAATAGATTGTTGGAATGGAATGCACTCTCTCCGTGGAGGGACGGATCCTGCTTTATCTAATTCCGGGCAAACCTTCGTTCAGGTTGGCAAGAATCAAGTTTGAGGACGGACCCCAGTGCGCTTGGGGTAATTGCTGGAGTCTAATCACAGCTTGCCATTGATAATATAATAATAATCTTTGCATTTGATCTAGCGCATTATCACATCTTTGAGACCTCTTAATGCGCTTCACAGAATATATTGTAAAGTGAATTTTACAATTGGCTGCCACGTTTCACCCACAAAATGTAGTTAATTAATTTTATATTGTATCCTTTGAAATGTCTTGAAGACATGATAATGCAAGGATGTAAGGATTATTATTTTTTATTGTTAATTTCTATATTAAATTATAAATGATACCAAGTACTCCAAAATCAGCACTTTTACAAAACTTGAAAAAAGTGAAAAAGCATTTATTTCAGTGAACTAACATTTTAGAAAAACACAAACAATGTGTGAATATTCCAGCACATAATACCATCTGCTATACACCAGTCACTACACACCACAGGACACAGTCACTATGGTGCCTGGAACGATAATGAATGATATATTCACTGAGGACTTGGCAACTAAACCCATTGTAATGCTGCTGTAAACTAGGAAGGATTGTAACAACATTGCGTTCAGTTTGATCCAGTCGACCCAAAACCACCGGCACCGCGATTCGTCTCATCCAGGTTCTGCAAAAAAAAACATAAATTGAATGTTCACACCTAACTTGTCCCCCTTGTCCCCCCACCCCCAAGATTGCCCAATACATTAATTACCTTTAACTCTTCAAGTTCCGGGTAGTAGATACGCTCACAGATCAGTTGAGCGATTCGATCACCTTTTTTAACTACATGAGAAAAAGAAATACAACACTAAGTAAGTTTCTTTCACACCATCTCCAACATGAAGAACCTTCACAGAAAGCTTCCTCATACAAGTTTGTAATGTAGCTTTTAGGGCAGGAACCTAAAATGACTAAATCTTGGGTTATAAGGACTGCTGCTGCTGTCATTTCCTGCTTTGCCCATATGCAGGAAAGCGGGACGTGACATTGATTGTGACCTAATGACCTGGAAGTTGGCCATCTTAGCGCAAAAACAAGTGGGCCAACAGTCCGTAGAGCCCCTATGTTAAGCAAATTTGTCGTATGGGGAAGCACCTTATAGCAGGCAGACTGCTAATGCTCAAGAACTGTGCCTCTTACTATGAATATTACAGGATCCGAACCATAGAGTCCACAGGGTGTGAACAAACGTGTCCAAACGGAGCTCCCTACATAGCGACCACTTAACAAGCTGTTAGCCCTGTGTGTTTGTCCACTTTAAACCCTGGTAATATCAGCAAAGGCCCAAGTGATGATAGATACAGAGTTGCTGGGAACACTCAGCAGGTTAGGTAGCATCTATGGAGAGATGCTGTCTGACCGAGTGTTCCCGGTGATTTCAGGTTGTATTTCAGATTTCCAGCATCTGCAGCATTTTGCCTTTTGATGATAGATCCAATTATCGCTTACCTTCAAAGGTTTCTTTGCTGAAGTTGAAGAGAACCACACCAACATTTCCTCTGTAATCTTCATCAATAACACCAGCTGCAAAAGGGAAAGATATTTTACTTTATTTATCTATCTCCTGAAACAACACTCATCTCCCCAGATACAATGCCCTGTAACAAAGTGGGAATCTACAAATTTTAATACAGTGGAAGCAGCTTCAACTGGACGCTGGTTAACCTCAGACGCCAGGTAAACTGGACAAAATGCCCAGCATTCATTTGTATCCTTACCCATTTTAAATATAACAGTTAATTAATACAACAATACGGATAATCCGGACAAAATGACACACCTGTCACCACTGAATATACTCACTCGCTCCAGGATGGCGATGGGTGGACTAAGATTACGATTCACATCATCTCCAGCCATTCACAAGTGGCTGGAGTTGGGCTGTCAATCAGTGGGGGTGGAAGGGGGGCAGAGGAACGGGGAAGAAACAAGGGAGGCAATGTGAGGAGTCAAATTCTGATTCATTGACAACAGACTCCAGCCAGTTGGATAACTAATTCAGACAAAACACCAAAAGTTTGCTTCAGTCAAGCTACCACTTCTGATTCAGTGAAGAAGCAGTACCTATGTCTAGGAGCAGGTACAGCCCTTTAAAAGTTTGCTGATTTCCAGAGGCAGAATTTCTTTGAAACATTCCTCCCTCAAAACTGAACCAGAGTTAGAAAGAACTATTGCGCCACCACCCGGCTTAACTCAAAATGACCAGAGAACTATACAACATGAGCATGACTTTGGGGGATAGATTGGACTGAATCAAGTTAGCAATGTAGTCCAGGATCCTGTTTGCCTTGTTTATTCATATCTTACCCTGTTTGGAGATGGTGAACAAAGAGTCAATTGCCTTGCTGAAGTACACTTATATTCTACATACATATTTCAGTCATCTGTACTGAACTTGATTTACATTAATCCGGTGCATACCATGATTAAAAGTTTTGGCAGCCTCCCCCCAATTGCCTTCAGCCATCAACGTCTTACGTGGAGCCAGCTGCTAATTTAAGTATCTTGTAATTCTAGATTATTTATGAATACTAAGAACAGGAAAGGTTCTAGCACATAAATAATATAGAACTGCATGTTCTGTGCAAGGAACAAAGTTACAAAACTCCCACATGTATTATTCCCACCTCCCAGTATCATAACATTTTCATTACCTATAAATGCCACTTATATCCAAAAGCTCAGCAAGACCTCACGCCATCAATGAGTTGACGTTTGTCAAGCACATATCAACTGACGCATGCATCCATCACCAGCAACTAGTTTATTTCAGCAAACAAGCAGCTATGCAAACATGTATACTAAAAAGATTCTGAAATGCAATTTCAAAAAGAGCTGTAAACAACTCGCCCTCTGCCCACAGCAGCTCTCCTCGTGGCTCAGCTCGTCCCATGGTGCTGGCAGCGCACTGATGTTCATTACATGTGAGTCTGGGCAGCTAATGGTACACAGTATTCACCTCAGAGAACATCGCAGCCAAACCACATTCTCTTCTTGGCTCAGCGTGAAGCTTGGCCACTGTATAAAGTTGTTGTTGATGACTACACTCCATTGGACAGCAATCAGGAGTGGAATTCCTGCCTTTTCCAACCAGGGTAACTGGCACACCCACCGCTGCTCTCGCTGACCCAGGCCAGGCCAGGGCAGGGCAGGCCAGGGCAGGGCAGGGCAGGGCAGGGCAGGCCAGGGCAGGGCAGGCCAGGGCAGGCCAGGCCAGGGCAGGGCAGGGCAGGGCAGGGCAGGCCAGGCCAGGCCAGGGCAGGGCAGGGCAGGGCAGGGCAGTCTGGCTCAGCATTCCATTATCATAGAATCATACAGTGACTGTACCTCGTACGTAAATAACCACTCAATAAATTAAAAATTTTATCTGGAGGACTGTCAGTCAGGACACCAGAAATAACTGCCCTCCCTCCTTTTTTGAATAGTGTCATGGGATATTTAACATCTACCAATGCCAAAGGACCTTAGTTTAATGTCTCATCAGAAGGACAGTACTTTCAACAATAAACATTGTGCGACACTGCACTGGAGTGTCAGCCTAGACTAGCAATTCAATTCCCAACATTGGGCCTGAACCCACAAACTTCTGCCTTGGAGCGAGAGCACTACTGACAATTGAAACATCAGAGAAACTCTCAAATGTAGTTTATTTCACTAAATACAGAAATATAGCCAGGAAGTGAACATAAAATACAACCGACATCCTGATATGGTTTTAACATTAAATAAAATGGTGACTACTGTATACATGCATTAACTTCATGTGAAGTAGGTGTCAGCATTTTTTTTAAACAAGAACATAGGATTCGTAGAAGTCAAATATATTTTCAGACGCAGGAAATATTAAGATTTATATATATATCTATACACACTATAGTTCCAAAGAACCATACATAGCATAGTTCAGATTCAAGCTAAATCTGTGTCTGTTCTGATGGACAGTAAAATACAAAGTCACTCCACTTTACTCAATACAAGGATTATTATTATTAAAGATCCATTCAAAAAGTCAAGGGAGTTTCTCATGGTGTGTTGGGCAAACAACCCTCCAGAAAATATTAGTCATTCACTTTCAAGGCTGTTTATGAGATATTGCTATATGCAAACAGGCTGCCGTGTAAAAACCTGCTAAATGCTTTGATAAGGCGTTCTATCAAATATATATCAGTCAACCTATCAACAATACAATTACATTTACATAATCTCAAACACATCACGCTGGGCATCAGAGCCGGGGTGAGTGGGGGGAGCCAGGGAAGATGACTGAAAGCACAGTGAAAACTCTGTACAAATTTGCTTAATATTCCCCTTTATCTCACATTTCGTAAAATACTTTTCAAGTTGGGAAAGCACTTTACAGTATATCCTGTGAAGTGCAGTGACTGCATTTTGTGAACGAATTCAGAGCAAATTTGTACACAGCAATTATCCTCTAGTCACAACTAATGGAAATTCTCCTATTGACTATCAAAGCCCTCGTCATTTTAAAGTGCTCAATTAGGTTCCCCTCAACCTCCTCTATTCTAATGAAAACAGGCCCAGTCTCTGCCCGTAGGTCAAACCCCATCCCGGATATCATCCAAGTAAATCTACCCTCACCCTCTCTATAGCCCTTCCTAAAGTGGGTGACCAAAATTGGATACTCCTATAAAAGTGATCTAACTGATGATTTATAATAACAATAATCCTTACATTTGGTATAGTGTCTTATCACATACAGATTAAGCATCAACTCTTTTGCCTTATATTCTATGGCCCTATTTATAAACCTAAGATCCTATTTTCATGTCACTAGCAATCTCACAAATACAGTAGCAAACATGTTTTTACCTCCAACGTCAATGAAGTATTTTGATGCCAAACCCGATCTTGGTGCTGGAAAAGAAAAACAGGAAACACCAGTGAAACATGGGGCATTGCTGCAATCATTATCTTCCCTTGAATGGAGTTAAATAAACAAAAAATAGTCTTTTCGGCATGATTTCACAAAAGAGAGGAATTCTACCTAGGTCTAGATTTACTCTATAGGTTTTCTGAGAATTTGGTGACTTGTTGAATTCAGTCTTAATGTTGAAGCCAGTTTTCTATAATTCCTAAGAACTTGCAGAAAACCAACTCTGAAATGTCAGAAAATCTAGATTTGGGTGAATTTCTTCCCTGTAGGTTCTATATATATCCACGACAGAGCAATTTTCCTATTAGATAAGTATTAAGAGCAGTATTAGTGCAGGGTGCATAAACTTTAAAAAAAAGGCATCTATCATAAAACATTCAGATGGGATTGGCAGAACAGAAAATGTAAAACAGAATACCATGTGAACCATACGTTCACATGGTGACAATTTCTGGAATTTATTAAGTGCATAAACAATATTTAAAACAACAACTTGTATTTATATAGTGCCCCTCATGCAGGGTACGTCTCATAGCGCTTGATAGTGCCAGAGCACGACACCAAGCTGGAGGAATGACCATGGAGGAATGATGAAGAGAAAGGTCTTCAGGCGCGACGGGGAAGGAGGAGGCGAGCAAAAACAAATAAACTGAATTCAGCTGTTAGTAATAATGGCAAAAGGTGTAAACTTGTGGAAACTGGTTTAACATCGGGATTGCTTTTTACGCCAGCACTCACCCACTCTGCCGTAGCAGCCAGGAGGGAGTGCAATCTGGATGTCAGTCTTCACAATGGCTTTATCTTGAGGTGGGATGATGTAGTCATAGGCACTGCGGACAACATTGAGAGCTGAGAGCAAGTGTCAGCTCCTCTCCCCCCTTATATATACACAACTCCACCATACACACCTTATACACACATATCCCTCATAAAAATATACAATTTATATACAAACACCCCATCACACCCCTTATACATAAATCCCCCCACCCCACACACGTACCTTATACACATACCCTTATAGACACACACCTTATATATGCGCGCACACCTTATAATACACAACTTGTATACACAACACCCCGACACATACACCCCTTATAACCCCCTCTCCCTTATAAAACCCCCACCCTCTATACAATCCCTTAAATACACCCACATTATTCACAACTCCCCTCCCTCCAGACACACATTTTTTTTGCTCAGCCGGGTGTCTGACACATGTGGAAACCCATCACTGTGCTTAAAAGTTTCCAAAGTAAACTGAGATTTCCATGTATCCCATCTACACATGGAAACCCAGAGATAGACTGTTGGACTGGAATGTGGACTCTCTCCCCGGAGGGACACATCCCACTTACTTAATTCCAGAACATAGGCTTGGGGACTATATATAACATATAGCCAAGGCTTGGGGACCCACACACACACCTTATGTACAGTATATAAACACCGTATATACACACGCACCTCATATACATGTGCACCTTATATACAGTGTATATACACACAACTTATATACAGTATACACACACCTTATATACAGTATATGCACACACAACACACACCTTATATACAGTGTACACACACCTGCCTTATATAAGTACATCCACACACACGCGCCTTATATACAGTATATGCACACTCACGCCTTATATACAGCATATCCACACACGTGCTTATATACAGCATATCCACACATGCCTTATACACAGTATATCCACACACACGCCTTATATACAGCATATCCATTCGCACCTTATACACGGTATATATACGTGCACCTTATATACAGTATATACACACACACGCTTTATATACAGTATAGACACACACGCGCCTTATATACAGTATATCCACACGCCTTATATACAGTATATCCACACACGCCTTATATACAGTATATCCACACGCCTTATATACAGTATATCCACACGCCTTATATACAGTATATCCACACGCCTTATATACAGCATATCCACACACGCCTTATATACAGCATATCCACACACGCCTTATATACAGCATATCCACACGCCTTATATACAGTATATCCACACGCCTTATATACAGCATATCCACATGTGCCTTATATGCAGCATATCCACACGTGCCTTATATACAGCATATCCACACGTGCCTTATATACAGCATATCCACACGTGCCTTATATACAGCATATCCACACGTGCCTTATATACAGTATATCCACACACACGCCTTATATACAGTATATCCACACACACGCCTTATATACAGCATATCCATACGCACCTTATACACAGTATATATATACGCTCCTTATGCACAGTATATACACACACGTGCCTTATATACAGTATACACACACGTGCCTTATATACAGTATATACATGCATGCACCTTATAGACAGTATATACACACATGTGCCTTATATACAGTATATACGCAAGTGCCTTATATACACGCATGACTTATATACAGTACATACACACACGTCTTACATACAGGACACACACACCTTAGATACAGTATATACACACGCACGCTTTACGTACGGTATATACATGCGCACACCATCTATACAGTATACACACATCTTATATACAGTATGAATGCGCGCACCTTATATAAAATATATACACCATATATACATATACACACATGCCATACAGTGTGTACACACACACCTGACATACAGTACACACACCTGACATACAGTACTCACACCTGACATACAGTACACACACCTGACATACAGTACACACACCTGACATACAGTACACACACCTGACATACAGTACACACACCTGACATACAGTACACACACCTGACATACAGTACACACACCTGACATACAGTACACGTACGCAACTTACATGCAGCTCACGCCTTATGCTCAGGACACGCCGTATATTCAGGACACGCGCGCGGCCCTTCGTACGCGGGACACACACACTCCTCAGATACAGGACAGACAGATGTTATACACAGATCACTGACCTGTACAGATCGTGTCCGGCGGCGCGGGCCGAGCCCCGGGTCGGGGTGTGGGCGTTGGTTGTCAGTTTGGAGAAGCGCAGCCGCTCCTCTCGGGGCCGCTTCACGGGGGCCGCGGCGCTCGGGCTCTCGGGCCGCGGGACAGCGCAGAGGCCGCAGCCGCCATCACAGGCCGTGGGGGCGGGGCACAATTTAGCGCCGAAATCTAAACCCCGGATCACCCCGAGACCCCGCCCCCTCCGAGACCCCGCCCCTCTGAGACCCCGCCCCCTCCGAGACCCCGCCCCTCTGAGACCCCGCCCCTCTGAGACCCCGCCCCCTCTGAGACCCCGCCCCTCCGAGACCCCGCCCCTCGGAGATCCGCCTCCATGGCAACCGCCCCCCCCCTTGAGCTCAGTCCATAAAATACTGTCACTGTTTGCAGAGAGGAGAGGGGGGAGAAGGGGGAGGGGGGGGAGAGGGGGAGGGGAGAGAGGGGAGAGAGGGGAGAGGCGGGAGGGGAGAGAGGGGAGAGAGGGGAGAGGCGGGAGGGGAAGGGGGGAGGGGGGAGAGGGGGGAGGGGAGGGGGGGAGGGGAGAGAGGGGAGAGGCGGGAGGGGAAGGGGGAGGGGGGAGAGGGGGGAGGGGAGGGGGGAGGGGGGAGGGGGGAGGGGAGAGAGGGGAGAGGCGGGAGGGGAAGGGGGGAGGGGGGAGGGGGGAGGGGGGAGGGGAGAGAGGGGGGAGGGGAGGGGAGGGGGGGAGGGGGAGAGGGGGGAGGGGAGAGAGGGGGAGGGGAGTGGGGTGAGGGGGAGAGGGGGAGGGGAGAGGGGGGGAGGGGGGGGAGAGGGGGGAGGGGAGGGGGGAGAGAGGGGGAGGGGAGAGGGGGAGGGGAGAGAGGGGAGAGGCGGGAGGGGAAGGGGGAGGGGGAGAGGGGGGAGGGGAGGGGGGAGGGGGGAGAGGGGGGAGGGGAGAGAGGGGGAGGGAGTGGGGGGAAGGGGGAGAGGGGGAGGGGAGAGAGGGGGAGGGGAGGGGGGGGGGAGAGGGGGAGGGGAGGGGGGGAGAGGGGGGGAGGGGAGAGGGGGGAGGGGGGAGAGGGGAGGGGGGAGGGGGGAGGGGAGGTAGAGTGTAGGGATAGACAGGGTGTGGAGAGAGAGGTGGAAATGGACGGGGGATAGAGAAGGAGGGGAGAGAGAGGGGAAAGGGAGGGGGGAAAGGGAATGGGGCTTTGTGGGCGAACGCGGCAGCCAATTGCGCACAGCAATGTCCCACAAACACTCGTAGATTGAAAATGACCAATTTATTATTGTTTGTGGTTTTGGAGGGATTATTATTAGGCTCTGTGTGGAGTAAGGAAACTTGCCCAAGGTTTGGCTCTGACCCCCCGGGGATTGAACTCAGGTCTCTCACTTGCAAAGCGAGTGCTCTAACCACTGAGCTACAGGACTCCACAAATACAGAGGGGTAAAGGGAAGGAGGAAAGGGAGTGGGAAAGGGAAAGGGGAAAAGGAGGGGGGATAGAGAGGGGGAAAGGGAGGGGGGAAAGGGAGAGGGGATAGAAAGGGGTAAAGGGAGGGGGAAAGGGAGGGGGGATAGAGAGGGAAAGGGAGGGGGGATAGAGAGGGGTAAAGGAAGGGGGAAAGGGAGGGGGGATAGAGAAGGGGAAAGGGAGGGGGGAAAGGGAACGGGGATAGAGAGGGGTAAAAGGGAAAAGGGAAGGGAGGAGGGATAGAGAGGGGGAAAGGGAAGGGGGATAGAGAGGGGGAAAGGGAGGGGGGATAGAGAGGGGTAAAGGAAGGGGGGAAGGGAGGGGGGATAGAGAGGGAGGGAAAGGAAGGGGAGATAGAGAGGGGTAAAGGGAAGGGGGAAGAGAGGGGTAAAGGGAAAGGTGAAATGGAGGGGGGATAGAGAGGGGGAAAGGGAATGGGGAAAGGGAGGGGTAAGGGAGGGGGGAGAGAGAGGGGAAAAGGGAGAGGGGAAAGGGAGGGAGGGGAGAGACAGTAGGGATAGAGAGGGGAGTGAGAGAGAGGGGGAAAGTGAGTGGCGATATAGAGGGAGGGGGATAGAGAGGGGGGAGCGAGCCGGAAAGGGAGGGGTGATAGAGAGGGAGGGGAGAGAGAGGGGGAAAGTGAGGAGGATATAGAGAGGTAGGGGAGAGAGAGTAGGGATAGAGAGGGTGTGGAGAGGGAGGGGGAAATGGACGGGGGATAGAGAAGGAGGGGAGAGAGAGGGGCGGAGGGGGATAGAGAAGGAGGGGAGAGAGAATGGGGAGAGGGAGTGGGAAAGGGAGGAGGGATAGAGAGGGGTGAGAGAGAGGGTGAAAGGGAGTGGGGATAGAGGGGGAGGGGAGAAAGAGTGGCGATAGAGAGGGAGGGGAGAGAGAGGGGAAAGGGGAGAGGGGGAAGAGATGGGGGATAGAGAGGGGGAAAGTGAGGGGTGGATAGAGAGGTAGGGGAGAGAGAGTAGGGATAGACAGGGTGTGGAGAGGGAGGGGGAAATGGACAGGGGATAGAGGAGGGGGGAGAGAGTGGGGAGAGGGAGTGGGAAAGGGAGAAGGGATAGAGAGGGGGAAAGGGAAGGGGAAGAGAGAGACTGCGCAACAGTGCGCGCGAGAGATATTGTGTGCCATTAAGAGAGAGAGTGCGCGTGAGAGAGTGCACACGAGAGTGCGTGAGAGTGCGGAAGAGTTTTTGCGAGTGTGTTTGTGCCAAAGAGAGAGACAGAGTGAGAGAGAGCGCATTCGGGAGAGTGCGCGGGAAAGAGTGCACGAGAGAGAGCGCATGAGAGGGACTGCGCGAGAGTGTGTGCGCGAGAGTGCGAATGAGAGTGCGCGCGACAGTATGTGCCAAAGTGTGCGAGTGAAACACAGTGACATGCGAGAGATTGCACGTGTGAGTGTGTGTGCAAGAGAGTGTGAGAGAGAACGCACTCGAGCGATTGCGCACGAGAGAGTGTGCACCGAAGACAGAGACACTGCCCTATGTGTGTGCGCGCGAGAGAGTGCGCGCGAGAGTAAGAGAAGGAGAGCTGCGGATGTGCACACGAGAGTGTATGCCAAAAAGAGAGACTTTGCGACAGTTGTGTGTGCGAGAGATTGCGCGTGAGAGAGGGCGTGAGAGTGTGCGCGCGAGTGTGCACAAGAGAGAGTACCAGCAAGAGAGTGTGCGCGCGAGTGTGTGAGCGAGAGTGCACGAAAGAGATTGTGCGCGCAAGAGAGAGTGGAGAGTGTGCAATGAAGAGAGAAACGGCACGAGAGAGAGTGCTCGCAAGATTGGCGAGTGAGAGTGCGCGCGCGAGAGTGCGCACGAGAGAGCGTGTGCGTGCGAGTGTGCAAGCGAAATACAGTGCATACGAATGAGTATGTAAGTGAGAGCGTGTGCGCAAGAGAGCGGCCGAAAGTGTGTGTACGTGAGCGAGTTCTACACTCAAGAGATATTGTGAAAGAGAGTGTGTACCGGAGAGTGTGCACTGAAGGGAGAGACACTACACGAGAGATTGGTGCGAGAGGTTGTTTGCGTGAAAGAATGCGCACGAGAGTGTGCACCAAAGTGCAAGACTGTACGTGCCAAAGTGTGCACTGAAGAGAGAGAGATGGCGTGAGAGCGTGTGCATGCGATAGAGTGCGTGTGCGAGTGTTGGTGCACGACATTGTTCGCGTCTGAGAATGCACGTGAGAGTGTGCGCCGAGGAGAGAGTCTGCGAGTGTGTGTGACAGTGTGCAATGAAGATAGAGAGATTGCGCGAGAGAGTGCGTACGATAGAATGTGCATACAAGATTGTGCAAATCAGAGAGAGCATACAAGTGTATGTGCACACGAGTGCGCGCGCGAAAGTGTGTGCACGCGCGAGTGTGTGCCGAAGAAAAAGAGACTACGCGACAGAGTGTGTGTACAAGAGGGTGAGCGAGAGCGCTCATATGAGAGAGTGCGTGCGAAAGAGAGTGCGCGTGAGCGAGCGCGAGAAAGCGTACACGAGAGTGTGAACCGAACAGAGAGCGACTGCGCGAGAGTGCGTGAGAGAGAGTACGCGACCGAGAGTGCACAAGAGAGAGAGACTGTGAATGAAAGAGTGTGTGCAAAGGTCGGGAGGGGTGGGAGGTGATGGGGTCGGGAGAGGGTGGGAGTGATGGGGTCGGGCAGGGTGGGAGTGGGGGTCGGGAGAGGGTGGGTGGATGGGGTCGGGCGAGGGTGGGAGTGATGGGGTCGGGCGAGGGTGGGAGGGTGGGAGTGGGGTCGGGAGAGGGTGGGGTGATGGGGTCGGGCGAGGGTGGGAGTGATGGGGTCGGGCGAGGGTGGGAGTGATGGGGTCGGGCGAGGGTGGGAGTGATGGGGGTGCGGGGGCGGGCAGGGTGGGAGTGATGTGGTCGGGAGAGGGTGGGAGCGATGGGGGCGAGGGTGGGAGTGATGGGGTCGGGAGAGGGTGGGAGCGATGGGGTCGGGCGAGGGTGGGAGCGATGGGTCGGGGAGGGTGGGAGCGATGGGGTCGGGCGAGGGTGGGAGTCATGGGTCGGGGGAGGGTGGGGAGGTCGAGGTGGGGTAGCGGGAGGGTGGAGTGATGGGGTCGGGCGAGGGTGGGAGTGATGGGGTCGGGAGGAGGGTGGGCAGTGATGGGGTCGGGCGAGGGTGGGGGTGATGGGGTCGGGAGGATGGGTGGGCGAGTGGATGGGGTCGGGAGGGAATGGGGTCGGGCGAGGGTGGATGGGGTCGGGAGAGGGTGGGTTGATGGGGTCGGGTGAGGGTGGGGTTGATGGGGTCGAGAGGGTGGGAGTGATGGGGTCGGAGAGGGTGTGAGTGATGGGGTCGGGGAGGGTGGGAGTGATGGGGTCGGGAGAGGGGGGTGATGGGGTCGGGAGAGGGGGGAGTGATGGGGTCGGGCGAGGGTGGGGGTGAAGGGGTCGGGTGACGGTGGGGGTGATGGGGTCGGGAGAGGGTGGGGTTGATGGGGTCGGGCGAGGGTGGGAGTGATGGGGTCGGGAGAGGGTGGGAGTGATGGGGTCAGGAGAGGGTGGGAGTGATGGGGTGCGGGAGAGGGTGGGGGTGATGGGGGTCGGGAGAGGTGGGGGTGATGG